TATATACTATACAGAATACATTCCAATCCATAGACCAGACTTTAGTCAAGAATATAATCAATATTATAGCCCATAATAGCCCAGACCAAACAATAGTCCAGATTGTAGTTTATAATATAGTGCTTAATATAGTAAAGAATGTGGTCCAGAATATAGATTTTAGTCCAGACAATAGCCCAGACTATAGTTCACAGTATAATCCAGACTATTGTCCGAACTATAGTCTTAACTATATTAGACTATATTTTAGTTTATTGTCCAGTCTATAGATAGAGTATAGTCCAGAAATTCAACCAGACCGTAGTATATAATATAGTGCAATATGGACTAGATCACAGACCAGAATATAGTCCAGATTGTAAACCAGACTACATAAAGATCATTTTGTATAAAAATTAAAATTACTTGTTTTCAGATAACTTAATCTTAATTTAACACCTGTCTGTCAGCAGTAGGGGTAGTGACTACTTGTTAAAGTGCAAACAATTTTAATTCACGGATAACTGAGGATAAAAACAGGTTTAACAAGCAAATAGCAAAGCTTAATTAATTTACAAAAAAAAAAATTAAGACTCTAGGGGAAATTGGCAGAAATAGCAAACTAATTGCTAGCAATGTAAACTAAAAGTTAAACAATTAAAACAAATGGTTTACATTTAACTCCTAGTTAAAAAAAATTAATTAAATGATAAACAACTTTATATAAATATAAAAAATCTAACACTACTGACAACCATCTAAATAAGTTTTATGTATTTATAACCAAATCTATTTTAATTGTTTTTTGTATTTTTTTATAAATTTTATACTTTAACTATAGTTTTACATCCCGTATTCGTGTGACACATAAAATATTAGTTTTAGCTTTTTGGCATTATTTCTGGCGGGTTTTTTCTTTAAAAAGCCGCCTTTTTATAAGTTTTACATGTTTAGTTTTTTATATATTTAGTTTAAAATTTCCTACTATATGTTGTACAAGTATACTATATCGTATGCTGTGTATTATTATTGTTTTATTTACAGTATTGTGGTTATTTTGTTTGCTTTTTTTTTTTTTTTTGCTGTAATTTACTATACAATTTCCTAATAATTAAATGCTAAATTATGTACATATACAATTTGTGTACCAACACTTTACTAGTGTCTCACTTTCAATAACAATTTAAATGAATATTGCTTGATTGTATGTTCATAACTATAGTATGATTCCTATTACGAGACAGTAGTAAAAAAAAAATGAATTTACGAAGCTTGCTATAAAGGGGTTGGAGTGTTAATCAGAAATAAAAATTTATGTAAAAAATTTGAATATTTTTTTTTTTTTAATTCTTCTTAATTTTTACAACATTTAGTGTGAATAGAGCAAAAATTCTTTGGTAGCAAAACTTGTATGTTGGAAAAGTATAAAAATCTAAATTTTCATGCCATTTGAAGAATTTTGTGAAATTCGGATAAAAACGGATAATAGCGGATAACAGGGTTTTAAGGCTAATCAAGCCAGGAAAAGCTGTTTAAACTAATTTCCTAAACATGCTTTATATATTTCAAATTGTTCTTAAACAAATTTATAACTTTTATAGATTTTTCTTTTAAATTTTTCGAAAAAAATTAAAAAAAAAATTGGTAAAGTTTTTCAAATTTGATTTTTTACTAATTGATTTTAATTTTGTAAAAAATTCTTTTGGAATATAATTTTTATAATCATAAAGATATCAAATCCTAATTTTTAAGCAATTCCAAGCATTTTTTGATATACGGATAAAAACGGATAATAGCGGATAACCGGGTTTAAAGCTGATTTAAAGCGGAAAAAGTATTTTTATGTATTATTCTGTTTATTCTTAATAATTTTAAATATTTATTTAACCAAATTTTTTATTTCAAAATATTTTTTTTAAATTTTTATTAAAAAATATTAAAACTTATTTTTTCCAATTTTTTCGACTTGGATTTTTTGCTAAATGCTTTTAATTTTGTGCTAAATTCTTTCGATATATGATTTTTGTAATCATAAAGATTTGTTATACTAAATTTTACTCAAATTCAAGCATTTTTTGATATACGGAAAAAAACGGATAATAACGGATAACCGGGTTTTAAGCTAATTAACAGCGAAAAAAGTATTTTTATGTATTCTTCAGTATATTCTTAATAAATTGACAGATTTTTTAACAAAATTTTATATTAAAAAAATTTTTTTTTATATTTTTTAAAAAAGTTTGAAATAAATTTTTTTTTAATTTTTTCGAATTTAATTTTTTATAAATGCCTTTAATTTTGAACCAAATTCTTTTGTAATATGATTTTTCTAACCATAAGGATTTGTTATACTCAATTTTACTCAAATTCAAGCATTTTTTGATATACGGATAAAAACGGATAATAACGGATAAGAGGGTTTTAAGCTAATTAACAGCGAAAAAAGTATTTTTATGTATTCTTCAGTATATTCTTAATAAATTGACAGATTTTTTTAACAAAATTTTATATTTAAAAAGATTTTTTTTTTATTTTTTAAAAAAGTATGAAATTAATTTTTTTTAATATTTTCGAATTTAATTTTTTTATAAATGCCTTTAATTTTGAACCAAATTCTTTTGTAATATGATTTTTGTAACCATAAGGATTTGTTATACTGAATTTTACACAATTCTAAGCATTTTTTGATATACGGATAAAAACGGATAATAGCGGATAACCGGGTTTTAAGCTAATTAACAGCGAAAAAAATATTTTATTGTATTATTCTGTTTAATCTTAATCATTTTAAAGATTTATTTAAGAAAATTTTCAATTTTGAAAATTTTTTGGAATTTCGAAAAAATTCTTAAAATAAATTTTCTTTAAAATTTAATTTTTCACTCAATTTCACCGATTTTGTTTAAAATTTCTTCAGAAACAAGATTCTAACGTTTCTAAAGATGTAAAATTTAAGTTTGTTTGTTTAATTTAGAGAATTTTTTGAAATACGGATAAAAACGGATAATAGCGAATAACAGGGTTTTAAGCTAATTTAGGGAGGGAAAAGTATTCTAATTTATTATTCCGGTTGTTCTTAATTATTTTAGTGATTCTTATAAGAAAATTTTTAAAATTTTAATAAAATTTTTCAGAGTTTTTCTAAAAACCTTAAAAATAGTTTCTTTCCAATTTCAATTTTGTCTAGAATAGTTGCAATTTTGTAAAAAAAATCTTTAAAATAACATTTCTATGTTTATTAATCTTTAAGTTATTAATTTCTGTACAATTCCAAACATTTTTAAGAATTCGGATAAAAACGGATAATAGCGGATAATGCAGTTTTAGGCAGATTTTTTTATTTATTTTATTTTTGAAACATTTTTGTTAAAAACTTGTCAGAAAATTGCACAAATGTATAAAAATTTGTTTTAACTACTTTTTTGTTGAAAAATTTTCATAAAACTGCTTTATCAGGTCTTATCCGTTTTTATCCGAAATTTCTCAAAATGAGATTTTAAGCTTAAAAATGTATAATTTGCATAGGTAATGTTATAGAGAATGATACTATTTAAAAAAAAAATAATTTTAAAAAGTATTTCTTAACATTGTTTTTTTTTTAATTTTATAAATTGTACACAAAAATTTTAAATTTTCATATAAAAAAGTTTAATTTTGAAAAATGTTGTAAAAAACTTGTTAGAAAATTAGTAAAATGTATAAGAATTTGATCAAACTACTTTCTTATTGAAAAATCTGCATAAAACTGCTTTATCCGGTCTTATCCGTTTTTATCCGAAATTTCCCAAAATGGGATTTTAAACATAAAAATGGCTAATTTGAATTAGTTTTGTTATAGGGAATGATATTTTGTAGAAAAATTCGTGTTTTAGAAAAAAATTCTTAACATTTTTTTAAAATTTCAGAAATTGTACACAAAAATTTTAAATTTTCACTCAAAAAAAGTTTAATTTTGAAAATTTTCGTAAAAAAACTTGTCAGAAAATTAGTTAAATGTATAAGAATTTGATCAAACTACTTTTTTATTGAAAATCTGTATAAAACTGCTTTATCCGGCCTTATCCGTTTTTATCCGGAATTTCTCAAGTTGGGATTACAAGCTTAAAAAAGGCTAATTTGTTTAAAAATCGATTAACTACAATAAATTTTTAGTAAAATTTCATTATTTTAAAGAAAATTTTGTAACTTTTCTCTTTTGGGTTTGACCTAACCCCTTATTTTGGTCTGTAACAGGTTGCTGTTGCTTTTTATATGATAAAATAATCTGTCTGTCTGTTAGCAATTGATACTTAAGCGAGAGACCGAGTTATTAATTAATTATTAAAATATAATTTTTCTAATGATTTTTAAGAGGAAAAGTAATAATTTAAACAAAACTAAATGCGGCAGTTAATAATAGAAAAATATGTTAAATAATGTTGAAAAAACAAAGAATTTTAATTGAAAAATAAGTTTAAAGGTGTTAAAAAGAATTTCAATTACTCATTTTAGTATAAATAATGATGTCATTATTTTATTACAATACATTTTTCAAAAAAGATTTACAAAACAGGAAGTTTTGGAAAAGTTAAATGAAAAGTAAAATAGATTTCTTCATATAAATAATGATGAATAATATTGAGGGAACTTAAACAATGAAATCATTTAAAGTATTATTATTTTATAATTTTTTTTATCAAAGATTTTGATAAGATAAAATTTTTTTGGAAAAATAAAACATTTTTTTCACTCCACTAAAGCACGAGGAAAGGCGGCGGCGGCAGGTGTATTGGGTGTACCAAAAACAAAAAATAACTTGTAACCCACATAACAAACTCAATAATGTTAAAGTTTACTGATTCCCGTATTGTTATCATAATTTTCTATTTTTTGTTGTAGCAAGACTAAACTCTATTATCTAATCTTATCAGTTATAGAACCCATACACTTGCCATACACAATCAGTACTATAATAAAGAAAATAAAGAGGGATTGCAAAAGCTACAGGTTTCTATAGAATATTTCATAAAAATTTTGTAGTTTGAAAAAGAAAAAATAAGAAAAATATAGGTTTTACGATATCATTTGTAGCCGTACGGTGTCAGTTAACGAACGAAAAACGCAACGACAAGAAGAATAAAGTTAAAAAGACTTTATTTTGGAGAAAATTTTTACAAAAAATATCTGAAAAAAAACTAATTAACTAAAAATAAACGAAAATGGTGTCTGTAGAAACAATTGGCTCTATATTTATCAAGGCCTTGAAATTGGTAAAAAGAAAATTATTACATAAAAAGTTAATTTCCTGAAAATTATAAACAATTTTTATATAAATTTCGTAAACAAAAAATAAAAAAAAAAAATCTTTAAAAAACGTTAAAAAACCAAACAAAGTGCTTAAAATTAAATAATTCTAAACAAAAATAAAAGTTTTATTAACTGATATCCAGCAAATAAATGACTCACTGCTTAAAGCTAAATGAAGTTAAAAAATCAATTTAAAAAACAATTTAAAAATTACAAATACAAAAATTTTATGAAAGCGATTCATTAAGAATAACCTAGTTAATAATTAAAACTACTTTTCCCGCCTTGAAACAGCTTAAAACCCCATTATCCGCTATTATCCGTTTTTATCCGTAAATCCAAAGTTAAAGCAAAATGTCTAGTAATAAACAAAACTCATAGTCCAGTGGCTAAAAATCATATTATCAAATTATTTTGAATATTTTGGACAATATTTTAGAAAAAAATTAATATTTTTTAAATTTTTATAAAATATTTTTAAGAAAAATTTTAAAAATTCTAATAAAATTTATAAGATTGTATATAAAAAAAAATACATTTTAACACTTTTCCCTCTTTAAATCAACCTAAAACCCCCTTATCCGCTATTATCCGTTTTTATCCGCAAATCCAAAGTTAAGCCTAAATGTCCAAAACTAAAACAAATAACTCTTAATGAGTTTAGAAATCATATTTTAACAAAATTAAAACTATTTTAAGAGAAAATAAAATTTTTTAAAATTTGCAATTTTAGAAATCCTAAAAAAAAATTATTCAAAATTTACAATTTTGTATAAGAAAAGCTTACAAAATACTGAAATCAACTTAAATAAAATATTTTTAAACTTGTTCCACCTTAAATTGGCTTAAAACCCTGTTATCCGCTATTATCCGTTTTTATCCGAAATTTTTAAAAATGCTCCGATTGTTCTAAAAATTAAGATTTGAAATCTTTGTGAATTTAATAAACATAAAACAAAAACAAATTTACCAAAAAAGCTTCTCTAGCAACAAAAATTTTAATTCAAATAAATTTTCATTTAAAAATTATTTTTTTTTTTTTTTTTTTAAATTAATAAAAAATAATAAAAATTCACAAAATTTTAGAGAAAAAATTCTCACACTCATTAAGCACAACCTTAATAATACATTAAACCTCCTTTCCCGCCTTAATTTAAACTAAAAACCTATTATCCGCCATTATCCGTTTTTATCCGCGATACCAAAAATGCTGCGATTTGCATAAAAATTGAGATTATGAATGTTTACAAGCAGATTAAACATAATTTAAAAGAATTTTTATGCTTATCTGAATATTTTTCAAAAAATTTTCTATTTGAAAATATTTTAATTTTAAAATTTTTGAAAAAATTCTTAAAATTTTTTTAAAATTTGTAAATTTTTCTAGAAAATACTTAAAATCATTAAGAGTATTCTAAATAATACATTAAACCTTCTTTAAGGCCTTAATTTAGCTTAAAAAAAATCTGCGATTTGCATAAAAATTGAGATTTTGGTACTTAATAATCTAAAAAATCGAAATTTGAAAGAATTTTTAACAAAAACAAATTTATTTTAATTAAATTTAAAATTTAAAAAAATTATTGAAAATTTTTTGTAAAAAAATTACTTAATTTTTAAAAATTTGTTTAAGAAAAAATTAAAAGCCTTTAAGAATAATCTGAATAACATATTAAAACACTTTTTCAGTGTTAACTGATATTAATATCCTGTTATCCGTTTTTAGCCATGTTTATTCGTTTTCCTTAAAAATGCTTAAATGATTAAAATTACAAAGTTTTTTTTTAATTATTTTCATTAAAAACTTTACTTTTTTTAAAATTTGTCTTTTTTTTACTCTAAAATGATTCATTGAAAAAACGCAAAAGTATATTTCTTAATCAACCACTCCCAAAAGCGTGGTCAAATCAAACAAACAAAATTTCATAAATATTATTACTTTTATTATATATATATGCACATCGGACGTAGTAGTTAATACCATATATGCCATAGTAGTAGTATGAATATTCATATTTAAAGCAAAAAAAAAAAACACCCATACCACAAAACCATTGAAATAATATGAGTAATTGATAACCAAAATGTTTCAAGGTAGTAAGTATTTTGTATTTTTACAACAGAAGAAAAAACACTGATAAAGAATTAATATTATCAAAAAAATAATATAAATAATAAATAAAAAAAATATTACACATTTAACGAAATAATTTCAAAAAAAAAAAAAGACAAATTTAAATATAGGAACAAAAATTTAAGCTTTAGCTGAAACAGACGGACGGATTTAAAAAAACTAATAATAACCGAAACCTGTTCAAATTTTATTTAAAATTTTAATAATTTAATGTTTTAGAATGACAGTAATCTTTTTGAAATAATTAAAACCCTTAAAGAAATGTCTATCCTTCAAAACGGTTAAAAGCGGATAAAAACAAGTATTTGAATGATTTAACACATAAACAACACGTTTCTTTAAAGATTTTTATAAGAATTATAAGTTTTTCTTTAATAAAAAACTTAAGAAATAATAAAAAATGAAAAAAAAAAAACACGAATAATTTAAACCGGATAAAAAACCGGTTACAAAATTATTCAAATTAAAACGAAAATTATAAAATTTAATAGTTTTTAAAGTAAATAAAGCAAAATCAGTTGATTTGAAACATTTTTCTAAGAAATTGTTTAATAAATAATAAGAAACGAATAAAAACCGGTTATAAAATTATTCGATTAATAACGTAAAATATAATTATAAATAGTTTTTAAACTAAATAAAGCAAACCAAGTTGATTAAGTCAAATTTTCAGGAAAGCGGTAACAAATAATGAGACGCGAATAAAAACCGGTTACAAAATTATGCGAATAATAACAAAATTAAAAAATTGTAATAGTTTTTAAACTTAATTAAGAAAACCTTTAAAATTTTCGGAAATCGATTAACGGATAATACGAAATGAATAAAAACCGGTTACAAAATTATTCGAATAATAATGATTTATACAATTCTTAACAGTCTTTAAACTTAGTAAAGGAAAATCAATTGATTACTGCAAATTTTACGAAAATCGGCTGAAGAAAACTATAAACCGAATAAAAACCGGTTACAAAATTATACGAATAATAAGGAAAAATAATAAGTTTTATTAGTTTTTAAACTAAACAACGAAAACCCATTTAATTAATGTAAATTTTTAGGAAATTGGTTAAATTATACAAAGAACCGAATTAAAACCGGTTACAAAATTATTCGAATAATAACGAAAATTATAAGTTTTAGTAGTTTTAAAAATAAATGAAGAAAAACTGATTGATAAATTGCGAATTAATAAGAAATCTGTTAACGAATAATAAGAAACGAATAAAAACCGGTTACATAATTATCCGTATAAAGAAATTTTTAAGCATTACTCTATTTAAAAGAAAAATATTAGTTTAGACGTTATTTTTAAGATTTTTTATTGATAATCGGGTTTTATTCGTATAAAATTTGTAATCGATTAAACAAATTAATCGAATAAAATTGTTTATAATTCATTTATAATTCTATTTAAAAAGAAAATATTTGCTTAAACTTTATTTTTAAGATTTTCTATTGATAATCGGTTGTTATTCGAATAAAATTTTTAATCGATTAAACTAATGAATCGAATAAAATTGTTTACAATTCCAAATTACTAACAATCAACAAGATTTCTTAAGTTTATGTAAGAATTTTATTCGATTTTAAATATGATTGGAATAAAATCAATATAAATTGTTATTCGACTAAAAATTTATTCGATTAAATGTATTGTTGTAACTCAATTTCTCTTTCAGGTCCTTAATTTAATCATTTTAATCTTATATCGTATCGGTGATGGCGGTGAATTCTTGGGTGTGGGCGGTACTTGGAATCTAAATGAGGAGAAAAGTGCCGATTGTGAAATCGTGGCCTCGGGAGTAATGGTGGGCTTTTTCATCTATACCGGTTGCCATACCATAGCCTATCTGTTTGGCACCACCAAACACAAGAGGTAAGTCCTTCCCTACCCTCTAAATTTTTATAATAGAATTTCATTTCCCCATTTTCAGAGAACTTTCCGATACCATAATGAACGTAGTGGGCACTTTCATGTGGGTGGCTGTGGGCGGTACTTGCTCTCCACTACTGGAAGGGTTATATGAAAGACAATGATTTCCTATATGTGGCCTCCGAAAGACAAGTGGGTATTGCTATGGGTGCTTTGTGTGTTATAGAGGGAGCTCTGTATCTATTGGATACCGTTTTGGCCTGCATACACTACTCCAAGGGTGATACCGATTATGTGCAGTAAATGAACAAATTCGAGAGAGAACCATCAACAGCAGTAGTTCAGCAAACGAATATATATACTTTTTCATACCCATATATCTTTTTTTTTTTAATTTTAAAACATAAGTTCAAATTAGTTTTAAAAACAAATTTTGACAAATTTTTCATTAAACCAACTTAAACCATAAGAAATTTTTAACATATTTTTCAAAGATTACAAAAGATCAGACAAAAATTTAGAACAAACGAAGAGAAAACTTTACTACTTCAAAATTTTTAAGTCCTTCTTAAATTACTGGACACTTTTTAAAAGGTATTTTTAATTACTTAAGTCAATTTTAAGTTTCTTACCAAATTAAAATCCTACCAAAAATTGTCAAATGCATTTTTATTTTTATTAAAAGTTTAAGATTCAAAAGAGACAACTGTATATTCAAAATATTTTCTTAACCAATTAATAAAGACTTTTTTGAAAGAAAACTCGACCAAAAACATGTCTCTCAAAGAAAGACTCTTCCCCCGCATTCATAATGACGATTTATTATATAATACCGGGTTTAAGAAATAAATTTTAAACCAATATCTAGGAAAGTTTTATTTCAAATCAATTTCATAATTTAGAGGTGGTCCACTTTTGCTCTCGGCTGCCACCTAGTTCTTGGGTTGTATTTTATCTTCCAGAGTTGATTTCAATAGTAGTAATTATTATACAATTAAAGCATAACTTCAGGCTTTCTCGCAAAAAGATAAAAATAGTTTATCAACTAGAACAGAATTAGAACAGAACGAGAACAGAACTAGAACAGAACTAGAACAGAACTAGAACAGAACTAGAACAGAACTAGAACAGAACTAGAACAGAACTAGAACAGAACTAGAACATAGCTAGAACAGAACTAGAACAGAACTAGAACATAGCTAGAACAGAACTAGAACAGACTAGAATAGAACTAGAACAGAACTAGAACAGAACTAGAACAGAACTAGAACAGAACTAGAACAGAACTAGAACAGAACTAGAACAGAACTAGAACAGAACTAGAACAGAACTAGAACAGAACTAGAACAGAACTAGAACAGAACTAGAACAGAACCAGAACAGAACTAGAACAGAACTAGAACAGAACTAGACAGAACTAGAACATAGCTAGAACAGAACTAGAACAGAACTAGAACAGAACTAGAACAGAACTAGAACAGAACTAGAACAGAACTAGAACAGAAACTAGAACAGAACTAGACAGAACTAGAACAGAACTAGAAGAACTAGAACAGAACTAGAACAGAACTAGAACAGAACTAGAACAGAACTAGAACAGAACTAGAACAGAACTAGAACAGAACTAGAACAGAACTAGAACAGAACTAGAACAGAACTTAGAACAGAACTAGAACAGAACTAGAACAGAACTAGAACAGACCTAGAACAGAACTAGAACAGAACTAGAACAGAACTAGAACAGAACTAGAACAGAACTAGAACAGAACTAGACTAGAACTAGAAACAGAACAGAACAGAACAGAACTAGAACAGAACAGAACAGAACTAGAACAGAACTAGAACAGAACTAGAACAGAACTAGAACAGAACTAGAACAGAACTAGAACAGAACTAGAACAGAACTAGAACAGAACTAGAACAGAACTAGAACAGAACTAGAACAGAACTAGAACAGAACTAGAACAGAACTAGAACAGAACTAGAACAGAACTAGAAACAGAACTAGAACAGAAACTAGAACAGAACTAGAACAGAACTAGAACAGAACTAGAACAGAACTAGAACAGAACAGAACTGAACAGAACTAGAACAGAACACAACTAGAACTAGAACAGAACTAGAACTAGAAACTAGAACAGAACTAGAACAGAACTAGCACAGAACTAGAAACAGAACTAGAACAGAAACTAGAACAGAACTAGAACAGAATAGAACAGAACTAGAACAGAACTAGAAACAGAACTAGAACAGAACTAGAACAGAACTAGACAGAATAGAACAGAACTAGAACATAGCTAGAAAGAACTAGAACAGAACTAGAATAGAACTAGAACAGAACTAGAACAGAACAGAACAGAACTAGGAACAGAACTAGAACAGAACTAGAACAGAACTAGAACAGAACTACGAACAGAACTAGACAGAACTAGAACAGACTAGAACAGAACTAGAACAGAACTAGAACAGAACCTAGAACAGAACTAGAACAGAACTAGAACAGAACTAGAACAGAACTAGAACAGCTAGAACAGAACTAGAACAGAACTAGAACAGAACTAGAACAGAACTAGAACAGAACTAGAACAGAACTAGAACAGAACTAGAACAGAACTAGAACAGAACTAGAACAGAACTAGAACAGAACTAGAACAGAACTAGAACAGAACTAGAACAGAACTAGAACAGAACTATAACAGAACTAGAACAGAACTACAACAGAACTAGAACAGAACTAGAACAGAACTAGAACAGAACTAGAACAGAACTACAACAGAACTAGAACAGAACTAGAACAGAACTAGAACAGAACTAGAACTAGAACAGAACTAGAACAGAACTAGAACAGAACTAGAACAGAACTAGAAACAGAACTAGAACAGAACTAGAACAGAACTAGAACAGAACTAGAACAGAACTAGAACAGAACTAGAACAGAACTAGAAACAGAACTAGAACAGAACTAGAACAGAACTAGAACAGAACTAGAACAGAACTAGAACAGAACTAGAACAGAACTAGAAGAACAGAACAGAACTAGAACAGAACTAGAACAGAACTAGAACAGAACTAGAACAGAACTAGAACAGAACTAGAACAGAACTAGTAGAACAGAACTAAGAACACGCACAACTAAACAGAACTAGAACAGAACTAGAACAGAACTAAAACAGAACTAGAACAGAACTAGAACAGAACTAAACAGAACTAGAACTAGAACAGAAACAGAACTAGAACAGAACTAGAACAGAACTAGAACAGAACTAGAACTAGAACAGAACCTAGAACAGAACTAGAACAGAACTAGAACAGAACTAGAACAGAACTAGAACAGAACTAGAACAGAACTAGAACAGAACTAGAACAGAACTAGAACAGAACTAGAACTGAACTGAACTGAACTAGAACTGAACTAGAACTGAACTGAACTGAACTAGAACTGAATTAGAACTGAACTAGAACTGAACTAGAACTGAACTAGAACTGAACTGGAACTGAAACTAGAACTGAACTAGAACAGAAACTAGAACAGAACTAGAAACAGAACTAGAACAGAACTAGAACTAGAACAGAACAGAACAGAACAGAACAGAACAGAACAGAACAGAACTAGAACTAGAACAGAACTAGAACAGAACTAGAACAGAACTAGAACAGAACTAGAACAGAACTAGAACAGAACTAGAACAGAACTAGAAACAGAACTAGAACAGAACTAGACAGAACTAGAACAGAACTAGAACAGAACTAGAACAGAACTAGAACAGAACTAGAACAGAACTAGAAAGAACTAGAACAGAACTAGAACTAGAACAGAACTAGAACAGAACTAGAACAGAACTAGAACAGAACTAGAACAGAACTACAACAGAACTACAACAGAACTACAACAGAACTAGAACAGAACTAGAACAGAACTAGAAACAGAACTAGAAACAGAACTAGAACAGAACTAGAACAGAACTAGAACAGAACTAGAACAGAACTAGAACAGAACTTAGAACAGAACTAGAACAGAACTAGAAGAACTAGAACAGAACTAGAACAGAACTAGAACAGAACTAGAACAGAACTAGAACAGAACTAGAACAGAACTAGAACAGACACTAGAACAGAACTAGAAAGACTAGAACAGAACTAGAACAGAACTAGAACAGAAACTAGAACAGAACTAGAACTAGAACAGAACAGAACAGAACAGAACAGAACAGAACAGAACAGAACTAGAACTAGAACAGAACTAGAACAGAACTAGAACAGAACTAGAACAGAACTAGAACAGAACTAGAACAGAACTAGAACAGAACTAGAACAGAACTAGAAACAGAACTAGAACAGAACTAGAACAGAACTAGAACAGAACTAGAACAGAACTAGAACTAGAACTAGAACTAGAACTAGAACTAGAACTAGAACAGAACTAGAACAGAACTAGAACAGAACTAGAACAGAACTACAACAGAAACTACAACAGAACTACAACAGAACTACAACAGAACTAGAACAGAACTAGAACAGAACTAGAACAGAACTAGAACAGAAACTAGAACAGAACTAGAACAGAACTAGAACAGAACTAGAACAGAACTAGAACAGAACTAGAACAGAACTAGAACAGAACTAGAACAGAACTAGAACAGAACTAGAACAGAACTAGACAGAACTAGAACGAACGAGAACAGAACTAGAACCAGAACTAGAACAGAACTAGAACAGAACTAGAACAGAACTAGAACAGAACTAGAACAGAACTAGAACAGAACTAGAACAGAACTAGAACAGAACTAGAACAGAACTAGAACAGAACTAGAACAGAACTAGAACAGAACTAGAACAGAACTAGAACAGAACTAGACAGAACTAGAACAGAACTAGAACAGAACTAGAACAGAACTAGAACAGAACTAGAACAGAACTAGAACAGAACTAGAACAGAACTAGAACAGAACTAGAACAGAACTAGAACAGAACATAGACAGAACTAGAACAGAACTAGAACAGAACTAGAACAGAACTAGAAACAGAACTAGAACAGAACTAGAACAGAACTAGAACAGAACTAGAACAGAACTAGAACAGAACTAGAACAGAACTAGAACAGAACTAGAACAGAACTAGAACAGAAATAGAACAGAACAGAACTAGAACTAGAACAGAACTAGAACAGAACTAGAACAGAACTAGAACAGAACTAGAACAGAACTAGAACTGAACTAGAACTAGAACTAGAACTGAACTAGAACTGAACTAGAACTGAACTAGAACTGAACTAGAACTGAACTAGAACTGAACTAGAACTGAACTAGAACTGAACTAGAATGAACTAGAACTGAACTAGAACTGAACTAGAACTGAACTAGAACTGAACTAGAACTGAACTAGAACTGAACTAGAACTGAACTAGAACTGAACTAGAACTGAACTAGAACTGAACTAGAACTGAACTAGAACTGAACTAGAACTGAACTAGAACTGAACTAGAACTGAACTAGAACTGAACTAGAACTGAACTAGAACTGAACTAGAACTGAACTAGAACTGAACTAGAACTGAACTAGAACTGAACAGAAATAGAACTAGAACAGAACTAGAACTAGAACAGAACTAGAAACAGAACTAGAACAGAACTAGAACAGAACTAGAACAGAACTAGAACATAACTAGAACAGAAACTAGAACATAACTAGAACAGAAACTAGAACAGAACTAGAACAGAACTAGAACAGAACTAGAACAGAACTAGAACAGAACTAGAACAGAACTAGAACAGAACTAGAACAGAACTAGAACAGAACTAGAACAGAACTAGAACAGAACTAGAACAGAACTAGAACAGAACTAGAACAGAACTAGAACAGAACTAGAACAGAACTAGAACAGAACTAGAACAGAACTAGAACAGAACTAGCACAGAACTAGAACAGAACTAGAACAGAACTAGAACAGAACTAGAACAGAACTAGAACAGAACTAGAACAGAACTAGAACAGAACTAGAACAGAACTAGAACAGAACTAGAACAGAACTAGAACAGAACTAGAACAGAACTAGAACAGAACTAGAACAGAACTAGAACAGAACTAGAACAGAACTAGAACAGAACTAGAACAGAACTAGAACAGAACTAGAAACAGAACTAGAACAGAACTAGAACAGAACTAGAACAGAACTAGAACAGAACTAGAACAGAACTAGAACAGAACTAGAACATGAACTAGAACAGAACTAGAACGAACTAGAACAGAACTAGAACAGAACTAGAACAGAACTAGAACAGAACTAGAACAGAACTAGAACAGAACTAGAAACAGAACTAGAATAGAACTAGAACAGAACTAGAACAGAACTAGACAGAACTAGAACAGAACTAGAACAGAACTAGAACAGAACTAGAACAGAACTAGAACGAACTAGAACAGAACTAGAACTAGAACTAGAACTGAACTAGAACTAGAACTGAAGAAACTGAACTAGAACTGAACTAGAACTGAACTAGAACTGAACTAGAACTGAACTAGAACTGAACTAGAACTGAACTAGAACTGAACTAGAACTGAACTAGAACTGAACTAGAACTGAACTAGAACTGAACTAGAACTGAACTAGAACTGAACTAGAACTAGAACTGAACTAGAACTGAACTAGAACTGAACTAGAACTGAACTAGAACTGAACTAGAACCTGAACTAGAACTGAACTAGAACTGAACTGAACTAGAACTGAACTAGAACTGAACTAGAACTGAACTAGAACTGAACTAGAACTGAACTAGAACTGAACTAGAACTGAACTAGAACAGAACAAGAACTAAACTGGAACTAAACTAAAACTTAACTAGAACTGAACTGTAACATAAAAAAATTATAGAAGCTATATTAGTTGCTAGGTCACTAAACTTTAATTTATTAAATAATATATATATTTTTTTTGCCAAAAAATAATGTTAATAAATTTTAGCAAAAAAAAACAGACATCTGTTTGTAATAAAAAATTAATCGAAAAACTTATGTATGTATCATTCTAGTTCTCATGTTCGTTTTTAATTAAAGCTGCCTAGTACAGACACCCCAAACCCAGGCAGTAAGTCGTTCGGTTCCCTCATCTCTTAAATGGCGCGTAATACATTTCAATAGCAGACAATTGTCTTAAATTATTAAGCGTATTGTCTTAATTAAACTTGACTCAAAACAAATATTTGAACAAGACATTTAAAATTAATTTATAGTATTTTAAAGCAGTATACCAACAGTTATTTTCTAGAGAAAATCAGGGTGCCAAAGGTAATTTTAAAAGTTACTTGGAAAACTTATTCTTGGTTAAAATCTTTCTTAAATATAGCTTTTATGGACACTCACCTGAACTTTAACTGCTGCATCGACAACATCCTGACCCGCCTTCGTGCGCTCCGTACTGATCTGACTGGCACAACGTTTATAGTAAGGCCTTTTTCTAGCCGTTAAAGGCGTCGAGGCCAAATCCAATATATCCACTAAATCACTATCTAAGATATACGAATTACGCGAAATGTCATTTAGTAACTCGAGTTTACGCGAATCCAAACTTTCACGATACACATTACGCGGTTTATCCAAATTATGCTCATAATCCGGATCCATATGAAAACTATTACGAGAGGCACTACGACGTTTAGCTAATTCACGCGCCGACCCGTGTAGAGAGGAGGAAGTTTTACGACGTCTTACCACTGTTTGCGGGGTAATAAAGGGAGAGGTGGTGGTGGCATTAGAGGGAGTACAGGGAGAGAGTAGTATATAGGAGGAGTTATCCGATATCAGGGAGTTGTCGGGAATTAGGGAGGAATTTAAAGAAGGATCCATAAGACTAACTTGTGAGAGTTTGCGTTCTAATTGCTTTTCATAGCTATTGAATTTGTCATAGTCGATGAAGGACATATTCTCATAACTGACCATATTGTCTACTGCCTGCAGGGACTGAAGCGAGGCCCGCCATTTGTCATTTAATTTATCCTTTTTCTTTTCCGAACTTAAGCCAAAAGTGGTCTTAAAGGAGGATATTAAGGTGGAGGAACGACGTTTTTTAAAATTGGCCACCGGATCAAAGGCAGCATCTTGTGTTAATACGGGAGTAGAGGTTTTGCGCAGTTGAGCCGGGGAAGTCTCGACAGGCGTGGAAGTGGCCTGATTAGCCATAGACTGAGGCCTTAGTGGGGTATTATTATCGTTATCGTTATTTTCTATGGAATTCTTACGTGGCGAAGCCGGTGAGGTGGGATCTTCTTCGGATAATTGCTCTAGTTGAGGTTCTATCAAACTGCGACGATTTGTACGTCGTGGTAAAATCATGGAACGACTGCGGGTAAACTTAAAAGGTAACTCACTATCGTCTTCGATTTTATTTAAACTCTCCTTACTGCTGGTTATCGAATTGATAAGTTTCGAGAGTTTACCTTTTAAAGAGAAACTACCGGATCTTTCAAATTTGGGTGGGCCGCCGGCTAAAAGTGTTTGGGAATTGCTATTGATAAGTTGTTTTTGTTGTTGCTGTTGTTCATAGTATTCACGCAATTTTTGACTGATATTTGTGTTGTTATTGTTGTTGTTGTTGTTGGTTTCATTAAGATTATTATTGTTGCTATTAATATTATTGTTATTGTGATTAACGGCAGTTGTTGTGGGGTTTTTGGAGTTTTTGGCAGTTTGTAAAGAATTTTTCTGATTCTTATTTAATTGTTCGGTTTTTTGCAGCTGTTGTTTTTTCACCAACTTTTGTTGTTTCTTTTGAGCCTTAACGGCTGCTTTGGTCTCAACTCTTGTGGAATTCATGGTTGTTTTAAAAGCTCAACTCTGTTAGCAAGCAACTAAAAACTTTCCACCTCTACAATCCCAAATGGCCTCTAGAAACCTCATGTGGCACTAAAAAGAAAGTAAATAAAATTAATTTTCAATTACTAATTTTTTCTAAATTTTAATTTTATTTCTAAAAATTTTGTCTAAAAGTTCCCCTTTTCTAACAAAAACTTCTTTTCATTTCTCTTATCAAATTCCCTACTTTCATGTTACAGTTAAAAACACCAACAACTTGTTATTGATTAGATTTGTTTAACCGAAAAAAAAATATATTTATTAGGGTTTTAATATCAGCCCCTTCTCCTCCCCCTCTCCGTCCTAGACTTTGGAAATTTCTTGCTTTTTTGCAAACTTAATTATCGTTTGTGTTTTGTTTTCCCCTTTACTTGGAAATATTATTACTATTTTGTACTTTAAACACAATTTTTTTTTTACATTCATACTAAATTAAACTGAAAATAGATAAAACTTTTGATAAAGAAATTTACTTAATAATTCATCAATATCATGTAATAAAGTGTGCTTAAGAATTAAACAAACAATCAATCAATAACAACTATGAATTGTAGTAATCATTGGAAGGTCAAAAGCTTTTTGTAAAAGTTTCAATTAAATAAAAATTCATTTTGGAAATTAAAAACAAATGACAAAAGTGCTAAAAACATCAACATAAACATCAAGTTTTAAAAGCTTTGCCTAAAACAATAGAAAAATATTAAAAGCTCTGGATGCAAAACCCAGCAAAAAGTATCGAGATCTTGTTAAAACATTTAAAATGGTAATAAAATATTAAAAATGACAAAAAATTCGAGTGCTTTACTTAAAACCATTGAAAAATATAAAAAGCTTTTGCCAAAAAAACCTAACAAAAAGTGTCCAAATCTTGTTAAAACTTTCAAAATTTTAAAAAAATCAATAAAAAATTAAAAAATTTTCAAAAATGTAAAAAAAAGCTTTCAAAGCTCTAGCTACAAAACCCAATCTAAAGCGACAAAATCTTCAAATTATTAACACATAAACTTCAAAAATTTAAAAAAAATTTAAAATTTTTACCTAAAAACCCCTAAAAAACACTAAAGCTTTAAAAGCTTTAGCTAAAAATCAAGCGAAAAGCAATAAATTATACTAAATATCTTTCATATAAAATAATTTACCCGAAAAATACTTCAAAAACTCAAAAATATCAAAAGCTTTAAAGAAAACACAACAAAAACACTAAAAGCTTTCAAAGCTCCGCAAAAAAAAGCATTAAAAACTATTAGATATCATTCAAAACTCCAAAAAAAAAAAACAAATAATAAGCAAAAGCTGTAACCAAATCAAAAAGCTCTTAACAATAACCAAGTAAAAAATTACGATAATTACGAAATAAATTGATCTGACATATTAAATATAGTTAATGGATTTTAAATGTTAAAAATTAAACAAAAAAATAAAAGCTTTAAAAAGCTTTTTAAACAAAATATGAAAAAAATTAACTCTAAAATAGAAAATTATAAAGAATGACATAAACAATTAAAAACTTTCTCATAAAAGCTAAAAAATGTTAAAATAAACTTAAAAAGCTTTAAAAGCTTCAAACAACAAATATAACAAAAATCAACAAAAAATACAATATGTATTATCATTGAAAAACCTTTATAATTTTTTACAAATTATTTAAAACTAAATAAAATGTTTCAAAATTCCTTAAAAACTGTAAAAGCTTTAAAAAGCTCTAAATAGAAAAAATGTAAAAAAAAACTATGAAAATTGTGATAAAAATCATGATAGAAAGCTAAAACTATAAATTACACAAAAATATCCTAAAAATCACTCTAAATAGAAAAAAGCTTTTAAAAGCTCAGTTTTAAAAATTAAGAAAAACTTGTAAACACTTATTATAATAATTAAATTATTATATATTATTAAAATTATGTTATTGAACTAAAAATTCATCAAAATTATATAATATAGCAAAAGCTTTTAAAAGCTCTACTAGAAAAGAGCACAAAATACTATAAAAAATGTTCGGAATACCTAAGAAAATTATTAAAAATGCAATAAAACTGTAAAAAGTTATAAAATTAATAAAAATTTGCAAAAGCTTTTAAAAGCTCTTACTATAAATTCTTTTAAAACTTCGTTAAATTCGGTATAAAAATATTGAAAGAATATAAATCTATTATATTGGGCAAAATAAGCTTTAAACTTGTTAAAATTATGTGAAAAGCTTTTAAAAGCTCTAGTAGAAAAAAATACAAAAGTGTCAAACCTTTTTAAAAATTAAAAAAAAAAATAAAACTTTAAAAATTTAATAAATTTAATAAATAATTAAAAAGATGTTTTATATTTTGATTTTATGGTTTTTTAATGTTTTTATAACAAAAGCTTTTAAAAGCTCTGCTTATAAAATGTGGAAAAATTCATACAACTTAATTAATAAGACATTATAAAATATGTTAAAAATTATCTTAATTATGAAAGTTTGGTAAAAGCTTTTAAAAAGCTCTTTTTATAAATTGCTTCAAAATTCAATAAAAAGTTGTATAATTAATTTAAGAAGCTAGAAATTATAATATTTGAATAAAATTAATTAAATTTACTTAAAATAGCAAAAGCTTTCAAAAGCTTTGGTATAAAAATGTTCCAAAAACTATAAAATTTTATGAGACACAAAAGCTGGGCATTAAATATTTCTTATTCCACAAAAAATTGGGTAAATTGAGCAATAATGGCAAAAGCTTTTAAAAGCTTTTGAAGAAATTTAAGTCAAAAATGTTAAAAAAACTTTGCAAATATTTCTGTATATTTAAAATCTAAATGTTAATTAGAATAAAAGTAAAAGCTTTTTTAAATAAAACCAAAAAAAAGATTAAAATTGTGAAAATAATCTCAAAAAAACAGCCTAAAGCATGGTAATGAACTCTTTATTAACACAATTATCTGTTTTTGAAACAAAAACAAATTCAAAACAATTTCAAATAAATAAATATTTACCGCTAGACTTTGATTACGTCGCCTGAGAAATATATACATAAATACAACTCAATGGAAACAATAAGTTTGTGATTAAATAGAAAAAAAATTGCTAAAAATAAACGCTGATATAAATTAAATTTAAACAAAATAATAATAAAATTAATTAAATGGTAACAGGGGTAAAGCAGCAAAAACAAAATTTAATCATAAGGAAATCATTTTAAAAAATATTTTAGAAAAAAATATATATTTTAATATTAAATGATAAAAAGAAAACAACTACACAAATTGTAAGAAATTAAATATAATTTTGCCAAACCCTGATTTTGCATTCTCGGGCAGCACACCTGCACTAGTTTCCAGCAAATTTTTTAGAAAAGCGCGTATTATTTTTTATATATTATAGTTCGTTGTTATTATTTTTTATACATGCATGTGTGTGTGTTTATTATCAATTTCAATTGTAAAACTGATAAAATTCTTACATATTTTATTATTATTTTATGACAACAACAATAAAAGAAGAACAAAAAAAATAGTAGATAGCATACTTATGGCGACATACAATAGACTAGATTTTGTCAAGAGTCCAAAGGCAGGGAAAAACATTCGTTTTGTTATAAAGATCATTAACAGCTCAACAAAATTTATCTAAAGCTTTAGGTAAACAATTCTAAATATAAATAGAAAAACACAAAAGCTTGGCGTGTAAATTACTAAAAAAATAACAAAAATTCTTAAAAATTAAGAAACTTTCAACATAATATAAAAAATCTAAGAATTTCGGTAGTTTTATGAAGAGCTTTTAAAAGCTTTTAAACATTTTCCATAATTTAAATAGTCAATTACTAATTTTTTCGATTTGTTAACTGTAGTAGAAATTTTAATAGATAGTTTTTATCACTTTAATTACCAAAGCTTTTAAAAGCTTTCAAAAAGCTTTTGAAATTATTGGTAAATTTTAAAAAATTTTACAGATTTATTAGAAATTAAACAACTTAGCAAAGGTTTTATATAATTTTAATAGATTTTTATCAATTTTATTAAAGGAGCTTTTAAAAGCTTTTGTACATTTTTATAAATTTTAAAAGGTTTTTTTAAATTGTTTATAGATTTTATAATTGTAGCAGGAAATTATACAGTTTTTGTTAATTTTAATTCTAAAGCTTTTAAAAGCTTCTGAAATTCTTCATTAATTTGAACAAAATGTTTAAGGTTAATTCAATTTTAATGACTTTTTTAATATTTATGCTAAATTGAAATGGTTTATAGATATATTTACTACAAGAGCTTTTAAAAGCTTTTGCTACTCTTTATTAATTAAACAATATCAAACAATATTTTAAGATTTTTAATGATTTTATAAATTTTTGATATGAAAGCTTTCAGAAAAGTAAAAGAAAATTATTTTTTAAGAGCTTTTTTTGAAAAAGCCTTATAAAAAGCTTTTTGAAAAAATTTAAATAAAACATTTTAACAAAAGCTTTTATGTATTAGATAAAAACTTTTTAGAAAAAAAATGTAGAAAAAACTTTCAAAAAAGCTTTATTAAAAAAAAAAAATAAAAAATAAACTATTAGAAAAAGCTTTTCCATAAATAATAGTTTTTCGATTTTTCTAGAAACCATTTTTAAAAAAGACCTTTTATGGTATAAAAGCTATTAGAGTTTTTTCAAGAAAAGTTTTATATGAAAGAACTTTTTTAGAAAAATACTTTATATGAAAGCACCTTCTTTAGAAAAAAAGCTTTTTATGAAATAGCTTATTCTGGAAAAAAAATTATGAAAGAGCTTTGCTAAAAAAATCTTCTTATGAAAGTGCATTTTTAGACTAAACCTTTTAAGCTTTTTCAGACAGAAAGACTGTTTTTTAAAAAGCTATTTTAGAAGAAGCTTCTTTAGAAACTTGTTGAACAAAAATCCTTTTTGGAACGTTTGTAAGAAAAAGCTTTAGTATATAAAATACATATGTTAAGAGATTTTTCAAAAAAAAACTTTCGAAAGAACTTTTTTAGAAAGTTTTTCTATAAAAAAAGCTTTTTATGAAAGAGCTTTATCGGGAAAAAGTTTTCCATGAAAGAGCTTTGTCAGAAAAAAAAGCTCTTT